GCAAATATTGACAACAGCTCACATGTGCCAAGTGTGGGTTTTCTCGTGACTGCCTCGTGGTGCAAGATGTGCATGGATCTTCCGCAAAAAATCCAAACCTTTTGAGCGCCAATGTAACCATATACCATAACAGACATGGGGTTTCTGCCACAGGCGCAGGCAAAACAGCTCTGGGTTCTTGGGGTCTTGTATACATGACCTCACATGTTGAGAGCCGCGATCAAATTAGAAATGGAAGGAGGGTTTCAACAAATGCGGTGCCGCCNNCCCCCCCCCCCCCCCCCCTCCGAAAATATGAGAATAACCGCATTCGATCACCGCTACACTCTTAGCTGTTCGTGAAAATCTAAATACACACAGGCTTATCAACTTGTTGGCCCTTTTCTTAAAGGGTCGTAGGAACTTTTCTCCTCCTGATAATAAATTGCCTGCAGTGCTTTCAGAAATGGCACGCACGTGTTAGGATCTCTCTTCTTCAAGCTCTGATTGCTGCTGCACATGACCTCTAAATTAATGACAAGCCTCATTTTCTCCTTCATCACGACCATTAACAGCAACATCGTTATCGTGATGATCACCATCATCTCCACTAATTGCCTGTGCTGTCGCCAATAGCAGCTAGAGTCTAAACGTCTAGTTTCCCCTAAAATAACCTTAAATAGCACCCTACAATCCCCCTTTAAGGAATTTAGACTATAGCTCAGATGAATACTCTCTAGAGACGCATGGAGAAAGACTGTGCAACAATGCTTTGTGCAAATTTCTCTCCGTCTGACCTCAAATTCCCGGCAAATCCTGCCATGAGCACTTTGGAGCGCCTAAATGTGACCAGGATGTGTCATTCCCAACAACGCATAGGCATTTCGGAAAGCAGAAGTGCGAATCAACATTTATTTTATCATTCGAATCACTTTCTCCATCTAAGAAGGTATGCGAGACAAAGAGATGATAATCGCAGACTGTGTCCTTGTACAAGCAACCCAGCTGAAACCCCACGACCCTTGACTTTCTCTTACCTCTGGATTAGACAGGAATGAAGGAATGGATCCTTACAGCCTTCCCTACAGAATGATCAATAAAATACGTTACACCGTTACATCTTCCTTTCCATCCATTCTTTCCCCGCTCGCAAGAGGTAAGTTTTTTTTCCGGAAAACAAGACCAGGACAGCTTGCAGGCACCCTGCGTCTTTGACGCTTGAAGGGGAGCGTCTTACAGCAAGGTGTCTCTCGAAAACTCCAGCTTACATGCATCTGCTTCAGAGAAAACAAAGTCTGTAGAAGCTCAGTGGCTAACACATGGTATCGCTGGTTTGCAAGACACACCCTCTTGTCTTTTGCCAGGCGGTCTGCTACGACCGCAGGAGCATTGTTGCAGGGCATCCCACAACCGAACAAAGGGTCAGAGCATTCCGCGCTGCAGTGCTAGTACCCTCGTAGAGAATGGAGGCACGCGTCAAATGTCCAAACATCTACACGACATGTTAACTGTTGAATCCTGAAATATGCACTGACTGGGATCTTGTGGACAACTTGTGGGCAAAGCATGGAGCAGCATTTCGGCCATTTGAGGCCTCGTCTTGTTGCTTGTGTATCAACCAAAACACGGTGAATGGACACTGTTGGTGCTGAACGGCTGAATTTGTCAATGACATGCAAACTCCTTTCGAACTACAGCGTTGAACTTGCTTAGCGGCCAATTGGTGTTCGTCCTTTGCAGCTTCAGAATGGATTTCGTATTAGCACATGAAACAGGACTGGCATTTCTCAAACATTCGATGCCTTTCCCCGAACCCTAAACCGCTGCCAGGTCATTTCAGTTGTGTTAGTTCCTGCTTCAGCTCCTTGTGGTAAAACTTCAGCATGCCCTCCTCATGATGCAAGCGCCGTCCCAGGCCTCACAGCTTGTTTCGCGCTTAGGGTATACGAATTTAGGGTTCGAGGTTTGGAGATTATATGCGACTGATCACGACCTCGGCGTTGGGATCTTACAGCTTGCGCGTTTCTGCGGCCAGGACAACAAGGGTGATAACGGCATTGCAAATGAGGATGGCGCTGTAATCATCCTCAATATTATCCAGGAGAAGGACAGGGCTGAAAACAATAGTCACGCCCTTAGCCTTGCCCTACCAGTGGCAATACATGCCTGAATACAAGGACTGGGCCATGCTTTTGGTACTCTCTCAGGTGAGATTGGAGGTCTAGGAGTATGTGGGGTGCCCTAATTCTGGGAGTTGGATTTTTGCTGGAAGTATCTGAAGAGACCGCGACTCATATGTACTATAGCCTAAACTCCTAGTATCCCCCTTAATAAACCCTATAGTAGTCCCCTATAAAACCCCCTATAAGGAGTTTAGACTATGGCTCATATAGGTCCTGGGGTGACGGAGATCTGGCGCACCACAAATCAAAAAATGGGCATGCCCTATGAGGAGCGCATAAAGTCCATGTATCACGTGGCGTGCCAAAGTATTTAGGGTGCTGCAGGATTGAGTGAGATATGTTGACTAAGGTAGTTCCAAAGGTTGACTCTTGAGCCCTGCGTTGCTCATGCATTCTTGATAAATTCCGCACGCACCTCCTCCCCTGCAGATGAACCAGAGTTTTTCAACCAAACAAATGAAAAGGAAACCTTTGTGCAACATACTGCTTATTCTTGTGTCCCAAGACCGCACAGCACACGCTACCAAGAGCCTTGAGCCCTGTACCCATGATAATGCTTAATTCATCAAGATGCTGCTTCTTTTTGTATTCCACATACCCTGGATGAAGGAAATCTTGTGCTACAAAATTTCCCCGGTCGAGCTCTCAATCCGAGAATCCTAACTCCTAAGCTCTAGAACCCCTAAGCACGCCTTCTATATCGTCACCAAGCCCCTGCCGGAGCCAGCGTTGAATGATCTTTAGCTGCACCTTCTTCTGGAAGCCCAGCTTTTCCTGTGTGGATATGTCTTCGGACATATTAAATCAAGATATGCATCCATTATCGGGATGTGGAAAGGTATGAGGGGTATAATGACGGCTTCGGGGTTTGGGGCGGGATTTTTTGTAGCTTGGAAAGAAGTTTTCGCGATCTACAGTCTGCAAAGCTCCGTGAATCCCTGAGATGCAACTGATGCAACCCCCGAGCTTCCTGCCCCCCTTTGTGGTGTGAGGGGGAGTTGCTGCTTAACAACTAATTACCAGAGGAAAGGTTGAGGGTTTAGGGTTTAGGGCTTGGTAAGTTGAAGAAGCATGAGTGCCTCTTAGAATTGCTGAGACTGTGCTGCGAAAGCTAGGGTCAGCCTTTTGGATATCTTTAGGCTCACTGGCTAGCATCCCGAAAATATCCTCCAGAATTGCTTCATAGGGTCATTTTTCTGGAGCAGAGAAAACCGACGCAAATATTTCAGGAGCTCCATGCCCCTGTAAAGCCTCAGCAATCACGTCGTTGGCACGTCCTATGCAGTACCCGAACAAGCAAAACTTCCAAACAACTCTAGTCTCGTCCGTCTCCGCGAGCATAGAGTGAACCTCAGCCACCCCCGAGGCAAGCAGCTTCATCTTGTCTTCCAACTCCTCCAAGCTAAGGCTGACGGCTGAGGCTCTACAAAGCATGAGAGCCCCTAAAAGAACTGCAAAGGTTGGCGTCCATTTCATGTGCAGATGGGTCCCCGTGTTCAAGGCGCGGAAGGGTGGATTAGGGCTTTGGCTTTAGCGCTAGCTGTGGAGGGCCCTTGCTACTGCTGCAGTTGTTTATCTTATTTGTCGAATCCATCCTTGTTTTAAAAGGGACCTGGCAAGACCAAATCCGGAGGCCTTAGCTGACTTGCTGACACAGCTTTACGGCCATTGCAGTGGCGTCACATTGATAGCTCCAACAGATAGACTTTGCCACGTAGCCCGAAAACTTCACCGCTCGATCACAAATAAACTAATGAAAGAGTCAATTTCAACCTAAACCCCGTCTTGTTGAAACGGCCCTGTTCTCACAAATTTCTTGCAAAGCCTATACAGCAGCAGCACACCAGAAAGACAGCGTATAGGGCAAAGATAGATTCGGGCTTGGAAAACATGGTGCTTCAACATGTCCATTGAGCGAGACGAAACTTCCTGGGCAAAGAATACGACATCCTTCGCACGGATGGCTCGCGGACTTGGAAAAGGCTGCATTGATGCTTACCACACATCAACAAGTAGGAGACAGCTCCCGGCAAAAATAAGCTAGGATCTAACAGACCTGATGGCGACTACTACCTACAGTACACGGCAACATGACAGCTTTTCCATTTGATTCTCCATTATAGTAGGTACCCCATAACCCCTATAGAACCTTATAGTTCGCATTAACAGGATGTTGAATATGCAACCCGTTGCCTGACGACGTGTGCCGCTTAGAACTGCTACTGCAAAAAGCAGGTCTGGATCTTTGCAAAAACTATAGAATGAACCATCTACTTGAAAAACAGTACCATCATGGTTTTCGGAAGCCTCAGGAATGGACCCAGCATACTGAGAACTCCTCTGATTACTACCCTGCTTACTGTCCTCTGTCAAGGAGAGGATGTGGCGAACTTCCGCAGGCTTCGGAGGATAGCCGCAAGTCCCGCAGCCCAATCCCAATGCTGTAGCATCCTAAAGCGCACGCTGCTTCCAGATTCTGATGTAAGGGGCAGGAAATACGAGTTAGGGTGCATAGTAGAAGGTTGGGGTGGATGGGGGCAGGGGCTCATGTCCTCGACTCTGCGATTTAGGACAGAGGCCCTATGTGGGCACACAGTGCTGTACAACGCGCAGACCTCAAAAACCTCCCTCAACAAAACCCCCAATGTCTATGTAAAATGTTGCCTTGCAGTTCCATATACTTTCAGGCAGGAATACGATAGTCCTAGAGAAAGGCGTATGCATTAAGAAGTTTCAGGGTGCCTAGGCATTGCTGCAATCCCAGAATCCGAATGTGTCACGGCAACGGCCCACTGGAAAGCATCTGCAAGCCCGTGTCGCGGAAACTGCTCACTCCTATCCACCTCTTGGCCAATTTTGAAGGTCATACGGATGATGTCCTGCGCCGTGCTCCCCAAGCCTCAGCGGTCTCTTGACTAGATCCAGCCGTGGGCTTCCGCCAAAAGAACTGGAGTCCGCTAGATCCCAACAGAGAGCTACAGTTCTGGCACATTGCCCGTAATCTGATGGATGATCTTTTTATGTGCTTCCTTTGCAGCATGACATAGTCGCTAAATACCATGCTAGCGCCGCTAGGGATCCCGATCCATCCGCCTATAAAATGGAGACCGCAATGAGAGAGACCACCCAGCTGTCTAACACTTTCTGGGAGAGGTTCTCGAAATACGGGCCCTTGGGGACCCTAGGGATATAGCGGATCAAAGGAGTCCCTCTTAACGACTACTTCGACAAGCCATGACAAGCCTTTCTTAAAAGTGGAGCTAGATACCAGGTACGGAGAACGCTGTGCCTGGAGCGCTCGGGAACCATGCCTGAACATACCGGTTTAGGGTGTATAGGGTTTAGGCACGCTCATCGCGCTCAGCAGGTTTGTTGGGCTTAGGTTTTAGGGGTAGTTGGAACTGGAATCAAACTTTAATCTACTGGTCATTACAGGAGTCTTGGAGCCAATACAGGAGCTGCTATACTATAGAGATCCAGGCCTGTAACCCTGACCACAGCATACACCGTAAGCCTAAACTCGTATGAGCAGTGTTTGGTGGCTTCATGTGGCTTCCATGTTCTTCTCCATTTCTGCATTCCCTGCAGAAGTACTGACATATGTTTGTGTTTGTACACACACATCTCTGTCCCTGTCAGCAGAGGCTGCCCTATGAAAGGGGTCTCACAAAAAGAAAACCGTTTTGACAACCTTATCTGTTTGGTACTTTCCTTCAAGACCCCAAAAAGATTCATGAATGTGTTCCCTTATACGACAAAATGGGAAGTCTGAAAACATCCCAACACGTCACATCATGTGGTAAGTGGGTGATCTGGTTTGGGGTTCACGTGCGCGAGGCAAACTGAGGCTGATGTGGGAAGAACTGCAAAGAGCCAGGACATTTTGGGGGAATGGTAGACATGCGTGAAACATTGCCGTGCATATTCCGCAGCATAAGCATGCAGAACCTGCCACACTAGTAACATTTATCATTATCTACTGTTCCCGCGGCGAGGAGCTTAAAGTTGGAACTCCTGGAATACCCGCCAGGTGCTTAAACTTAACTCCTTGTTGCTTGCAATGCTCAAGTTCAAAGGAAAGCAGAACGCGTGCGCACCCAAACCGTCATGTCCCGCCCCTGTGAGGGCAGCGAGTAATAGCGCGAAGATGGCCAGTCGCTTCTGAGGCGTTGGGGCCGATCGCGCCATAGCTTTGGGTGTCTAGTCTATTGTGGTTGATCTTTGCTATCTGCTCTTGTGGCTTCTGTTGATTTATTATAGTTCTCTCTTCTGTTGATTTTATTCCTGATTTTGTGCCAGCTACGACGCTATGAATACACTACAGTAGCAATAGACCACTTGGCCAGTCTGCAGGTGTCAGAGCTTGAACAATGTTCCCCATTCACAGGTGTCGTCTAGCATGTCCTTCAACCCAAAGAAAACCAATAGACCAGAATTTGGCAGGTTGATGGATCATCGAAAAAGTATCTACCGTGGTCCCCTAAACGCAAATGCTGGCAACTGCTGTTTGAGCAACATCCTCTGTCGGATCTGCTGCTAGGGTAGAGGAACCAGCTGTGTACCAGAATGCCTGCTGCGCCGACATGTTGCGGCTTCCACTTGAAACGTTTGAGTAAATGGGAGATCTGAAGCAAGGAGACAGATGTATGCTGTCAACTCTCGTCTTCCCTGCAGGCATGAACAGAAGCACCGTGATAACCCTCTACAGACCCTGAGAGTTGCATACACCATCCTCACTCACATATACTACTCTTACTTTGCCGCCGAGAAATATACACTGGGCACAGCTAAGCAGACTCGACCGCATAACGTCCTAGTCACCGCTCTGCAGAAGCCCTCTGGCCGTCAAAACACAGTTAACCCTATGAGCACCCAACATCTGTCGTCGAAAGGGTCTGACGGCTGAGGTATCATCCTTCGGGAATGTGTGCTACTTGTTTAGAACCGCGGCCGTAGGGGCCCGACACAGTTCTGGATTAGGGAGGTCAGCTCCACTACCCAATTTGATTCGGGATCGAGGCTGCAAGTATATTAGTGTTGAGCCGTGATGTGAACGGGTAAAACCAAAAGAGATGGCATAGGCCGCTGATTTTCCGAGCAACACTTGATCTCAGCCTTCTGTAAGCGAGAGCTTTAGAATGAGGGTCACAGATCACGCCCTTTAACAAGCCTCATGAATTCCCACAGGAAGGCTCTGAGTAGCCACAAATCTTTTGATTGCATTCGAACGAGGGCAGCCCACTCCTCCTATATATCTATCCATGCGCGGCCGCCACCCCCCTTGCAGGAATTGACGCGCAAAAGACAATCCTTCTGGAATCCCCCTGCTTCTACCTAATCCCACGTACAGCACTTTGAGGTTGTTTATAATCAAATCTACTGTCTTTGTACTCCAGCAAAATACACCCCTTACCACAACACCTCTGCTTCCTGAACCCCCTGAACCCTGAACCCCAAACCCTCTTTGTAAGTATCTATATATACCTTATTCCCTAGTAACCCCCAGTAAGCCCAGACTCAAAGGATGCCTTCTCGACCTCACCAGTCTTCGCCTTTCGCACTCAGAATGCCAAGGCTACCCTCCCCCTAAAACTGCCAGGATGTTGGCCATCTTGACCCTTAGGGATGAAATATCCCCCCCATGGAAACGGTGTCTAGGGTTTACGGTCCAAAATCCAGTGTAAAAGGTCTCTGAGCATCTTACATGCAGTTTACATTTGGGGATAACACTAACACTTTTGAGGCCGGAACTTCCATGGAACCACTCTTGGAGGCTTAGAGCTTGGGGTTGAAACCGTGGGCCCCTAGTATGGTTCCTTAACCCTCGGATCCTTATGTACCTGTCATATACCCTATATGTACCCTTAAGGGTCCCTAGAGTCCCCCTATAAAGCCCAAGGGTCCTTGTTTGGGGCCCATAGTTCTAACCTTGGATTTAAAGTTTAGAGTCATAGCAACCCGCCGCCCCCCTAGCTGTACATGGGATTCTCTGCAATCGTGTCGACATCGACTTCGTCACTCTCCCTATTCTGGCCTTGTGGTCTGCTGCTGCCCACCCTGGAATGTACACCTCAAACAAAATATTCGCAAACCTATGTCAAGAAGCAATTGTTTTTTTTTGGGGGGGGTGGTGGCGGGGGAGGGGTTGGGGCGGGGTGGGCGGTTAATCTTTGTTTTTGTTTTCGTTTGTTTGTTTTGGGGTAGGGGGTTCAATATATACAATATAGCTGCATGGCTCTTTTGGGAAACACTTGATCTCGGATATCACATAAAAAGAACAAGAGGCCCACGAGAAAAACCTCTCCCTGGCTGTTCTGTCATACAATACCGATGTACTATGTGGTTCTTATATACTTGCAATCATTGCTTAGGCTGTTCCGAGTATGTGATAGATAGTGTATGCTTTGGAACCTCATGTTCTATATATAGGGATGCATTGACAACCCTCTCTGGGGTCAGCATGGGGCCCTTAATGAAAATGCCATAAGAAGCATAGGATGCATCTGAGGACTTGATGATGTTGACCAGGCACCAAATCTACATCGTACAGCGCTCAGTAGAGGAGTTCCTAAAACAAAACCGTAAAAGGACCCTCCATGATGCCGGTGAGCTGCATGAGTAAACGGCCCCTAACCAGTTCAGGGCTGTGACTTCATAATTTCATAATCATCTTTAAGGAGTGTAGACTACAGCTCACATCTTGGCATACCCCATACTGCAAGTCAGGCATGAAGGACTGCTCCAAACCAAAAGATGCGCCAAGCAATGACTACAGGGTGTAGGGTTCAGGGTTCAAGAAGGGTTTAGGGCTTAGAATGACTACGCATGGTGCTCAGTAAAAAGGAAGAGAGGGATCCCTAAAGAAACCCTTGTACAATGCCACCTAGTAATCTCAGAAACCCTAAACCCCATAATTAGTAGCCGCTACAAACCATTCCCTGTTCCCCTTTCCGTAGTTCGCACAACGGAGATGTCCACGGTGCTGTGCGCTTTGGCGGTAGGTCGTATCTAAAAGCAATCCGAGAATCTACACAAACGTTTTCAAGCAACTTGTCAACACGACTCATAACGATGGCCGGTCAATCGCTCTCACACAATCACATCATTGCATCCACCGGCAGCAGCTGCTCTTACTGGAGAACCTTCGGCTGATCTTCCTCCGCACTGCTGTCGTGATTGTCGTCGCTGGGGCGACTGCGGCCCCACGTTACGACAGCTCCATGGCAAAGGATCGCAGCAAAGGCACCAACAGTTGCTTGGATCCGGTGCACGTTCTTCAGCTGATCTTGCACAGCAGTACTGTCACCACCTTCATCAGCGTCACCCCAGGTCACTACCGATCCATCGCCGAGGTTCGCAGCAAAGGCACAAAAGGTAGCTTGGATCTGTTGCACTTGTTTCAGCTGATCTTGCACAGCGCTGCTGTCGCCACCGAAGTCAGCATGACCCCAGGTCACGACGGATCCATCGGCAAGGATCGCAGCAAAGGCAAATTGATTGGCTTGTATTTGTCGAACGTTCTTCAGCTGATCTTGTACAGCACTGCTATCACCACCATTGTCAGGAAGGCCCCAAGTCACGACAGATCCGTTGCCAAGGATTGCCGCAAAGGCACTGCCAGTCGATTGGACTTGTTGCACGCTCTTCAGTTGATCTTGCACAGCACTGCTGTCACCACCTTCATCAGCGCTGCCCCAGGTCACTACCGATCCATCGCCAAGAATCGCAGCAAAGGCACCAACAGTTGATTGGATCCGTTGCACGTTCTTCAGCTGATCTTGGACAGCCGTGCTGTCACCACCTCCGCCAGCATGGCACCAGGTCGCAGCGGACCCATCGACCAGGATTGCAGCAAAGGCAATTTCAG